TGTGTGTGTGTGTGTGTGTGTGTGTGTGTCACCTGACCTTCAACAAGCTGATGCGATGATGCTAATTGTCGGAGGGTTAACGTGAGGACAGACACAATGTGCAGTGACAAAGAAGTAAATGGTGGATGACCCAAGAAACAAATGTGTGCGATAACGAATCATTTGTCAAAATGTTTTTGAATCATACCATCTCAAACCAGAACATCACGTTGAAAACACAATCTATCAAAGGCTGGCATGCTCTGGTCGTGTGCGGTCTGTTAGTGGTTAAAACAGCCCTCCACCCATGAGCCCATTAGCCCCGTCTTGATAATGGCTTTGTTTCCAGGCCCTTAACTGCCCCTATAGTAACCTCACAAACAGGCCGCGGGCTGTGAGAGCGGGTTTGTAAACGTCCCTCAGAAGGAGTTCCCTGCAACGGACCACGTGCACTGTTGCAATCCATATCTCTTTCAGTCTTCTTCTCTCTTTACCTGCTGTCTATGTTTTTACTGCAGCCACCTACTTAGCTGCTGGTGAGTCATAAGAAGGGTAATAGCAGACACTCAGTGGCTCAACTGTCAACTGTGCTGATGGATGAGGGTCACATACATACACACACACACACACACACACACACACACTCAAATACACACCACACCATAACTAATTCTCTTATGGCTGATGGAGGGAGGGAACCCTCTGTTTAAAAACGTCCAGCGCAAATGAAGAGTCTGTGCCACGGGGCAAAAGAAAGAGAAAAAGAGGAGGTGGGGGTGTTGTGGTCTTTCACAATGGTGTTTAAAAAACCCACATGGCCTTATTTTCTACTCGCCTAAAGAGGAGCTCAGCGATCTAGGTTGCGAAGAGGAGGGGATGGGGAAGGGGATGGGGATGGAGGAGGAGAGAAGCGAGGAGAGAAAAGCGAGGCGGGGTGTCACTGGCTGAAGGCATTCCTCTGCAGACGTCACATAGGAACAAAGAGGAGAGGAGGGTGTGTGTGTGTTTGTATGCAGGCTGCACCTTGTCTACGGTTATTAATATTCTGGATCTGCACACGTTTCCCATTATACCAGTACATTTCTGCTCCTGAGAAGATATACGTGTGTGTGTGTGTGTGTGTGCGCGCGCATGTTGCCACTGCAGTGCAGCACAGTGGGGGTTGGGGGGGTCTTCCTCCAGCTGTGACGTAGCATGGAGGAGAAAGAAATTAGGGCACGACTCAGCCCAGCTCTGGTGCCATTGTTGCCTCGATTTTTTTTTTTTTTTTTCGAGTGTGTGTGTCACACACACACACACAGTCACTGACCTTTAACGTCATA